CTGGGAGGCTTGGTTGGTGATCCCTTTCTGAAAGATCAGTCACTGCCAATCCTATGAGCCCAGTTCTACTTGGACACACATGTGGCCAAGACAAGTCAGAATTGACTGCAAGGCAACTGCTTACCAAGCTCTGATTGCTACAAACCCCTAGTCTCTAGGGCAGGACCAGTGACATCATCTCTTGGGAGGTGATGGGGTCCCTCTCTCACGAAATCTATACCTGCCCTTGCTGGAAGAAGATGGCATGTTCATAAAGAACGCCATCAAAGAGAAACAATAATCCTCTCAGCTCCCACCTCCCCTGCAACTCATCTCCAACATACCCCACCCCCGGGGGGATACTTTCTGCCCATCACCCCAGGGCCACTGAGCACAGGAGGGAGCTTAGGCAACAGCTCATGTATGGAATCTGGCTGCCCGCATTTGGAGTCACAAGTCATTTTTATTTTCGAGTTACAGAGCCATCATCAATGACTTGTTCAAGAAACTAACCTACGTTTCCACGTAAAGATGTCAGGTAGACGTGAAAAATGTCATCCCTTCCATCAACACATGCTTTCAAGAGCTAGTAGGTCATGCAGAAAGCGACCTTCACTTGCCTCTGCAGAGCTCAGTGCAGCCAATCCTTCCTAGGGCAGGAATAGGGGGCCGGGCACTAACATCCCCCTCAAACCCATGAAGCCAAGGCTCAAAAAACCCACAAACCTCACTGCCATTGAGTTGATTATAAGTCATAGTGAGATATCCCTTACAGCCCCGGTTAATATGAGTGGCCATAGCCTTTCCCATGATCAGCACAGAATCCCCTCACGCTCACTATAGGTGCTGACCCAACGGGAAGTCACCTTCCATGGACTCAGTGTCCACTCCTGGCTACCCTATGGGGCAGGTAGAACTGTCCCTGTGGGTTTCTGAGACGGTCACTGTGTACAGGAGTAGAACGCCTTGCCATTCTTCTGAGGAGCAGCTGGTGGGCCTTGTGGATCAGCACGTAACTACTACACCATCAGGGCTCCTACACCTTTCCATTATGAAGCTCTGAAATCTGAAGGCTGAGCTCAAAGGTACAGATTCCAACACTTGCTCCACTGCACCATCATGTGAGGAGATGGTCTCAGGGATGCAGGTTCGAACGTGTGGCTGAAGGAAGAACCCAGAGAGAACCAGGAGTTCAAAGTGGTGATGTTCTCAGCAGCAACTTCCTTCACACACAGGTTGACGATCATCTGTCTGAAACCTTTGGGACTAGATGAATTCGAGAATTCAGATTTCTTTGGATTTTAGAAAGCTGCTATATTTACTACCCCCAGTGGAGTGTAAAGCAAGACCTTTAAATGAATTTTCTTTGGGGCCAGAATATTCATTAGTATGAATACTCATCCTTATCCTCTATCAGATCAAGTTGAATTTTACCACTGAAACTAAAAGCAACCTCGCTGGCTTCCTGGCCACCCTAGGAGACGGGGAAACTGTCCCTGGGAGTGTCCAAGGCTGTCCCTCTCTACAGGAGTAGAAATCCCCACCGCTCTCCCTAAAGGAGCATGAAAACAAATCCAGAGTTCTGAGAACGGGGGATCTGGCACCAACAAGTTCACTTTCCTCCAAGACATATCTGAACTCAATCATTCAGGGCCCGAGACCCACAACAGGGAAACGACAAATGCCACAAACCCAGCAGACATTCTCTGCCGCGTGAGGCCCGGTGCCACAGAGTAGAACTGCCCTGCACGGTTTTCTAGACTAACTCTCGTGGGGAGACCATCTGAGATACAGCCGGGTTCCTTTATTGAATCCCTGATACAGAAAATGTCTTCAAAGTTGAGCTGGTCTGACCTAAGAACGCAGCCAAGAAAGGATCCGAAAAAACCAAACATCAAACCTACTGCCGTGGAGTTGATTCAGGTACATGGCAACCCTCTGGGTGTGAGTAGAACCGCCCCACAGAGTTCCCCAGGCTGTAATCTTTATGGAAGTAGCCTGCCATATACACCTTTGTTCAGTGGAGTGGCCGGTGAGTTCAAAACACTGGTCCGAACAGCCCAACACTCAACCAACTGCACCACTGGAGTACCTTAGACTCCATAGGGCCTTGGAGAAAAGAAAAAAAAGAATGATGGAATATATGTACGAATATGTCAAATACAATTGATGTATGGATTGTAACAGAGTTGTAAGAGTCCAATAAAATGATTATAAAACAAAAAAAAAATAAAGTGTCGAAGTCCTTGTGAGCATGGTAGCTGACTCCAAGGAGGGTGCAATATTTTTGGTATATCCAACCCGATACCACCTAAAACTAAAAACCAAACTCACTGCCATTACATCAGTTCTGAGTCATATTGATGCTAAAGGACAGAGTAGAGCTGCCCCTATGGATTTCCAAGGTTGTCAATCTTCAGAGAAGCAGAAAGTCTCATCTTTCTTCCATGGAGTAACTGGTGGGTTTGAACTGCTGACTGTATGCTTAGCAGGCCAACGGGTAACAACTCTGCTATATAGAAGTACATGTCCATTAACAGCAGACCAGATTTCTCCATGCCCCGGCCCCTTGTGAATCTCACGCCTTTCAGAAGCAAGACCACCACCTAGAAGCTGCTACTCGTTATTCTGCTCCCAGAAAGGCCAGCGCTCCCCGGATCTGCCTCTAGTCCTCTGCTCAATGACCTTGCCTGCCAGTGTGACATCTTTGACTCCCACATTGGAGTCATTATTCCCACGCTTCTCCCCAATTCCAACTCATTTTCCAACCGCCTCTTGGTCATCTCCACCCAGAGGCCTCATATGCCCCTCCTCTTCTGCTGCTGTGGCGGGACGACTGGTGACTGCGAGCTTCTCCTTTGTCTCTGCCTTGCAGTGAGGATGGTCGGACGACTGGCTCTGGCCAACAGGATAAGCAGAAATGCTGCTTGTCACTTCTGGGGGAGGCAAGATTATGGAGACTATGGAGAATCCAAATAGACACCTTCCAGGTTCTAGAATCACTGCTTGGATCCAGGCAAGTTGTGACAAGAATAGAACTTGTATGGTTACAATGTATTACGATTCTGGGGTCATCTGACACACGGATTGCTGCTGTGGTCGGGTGTTGGTGATGTTGGCTCCAGACCATGGTGACACCATGTGACAGAGCTGAACTGCTAAGGAGAACTTCCCAGGCTGTCATCTTTCTGCAAGTCAGTCACCAGGTCCTTCTTCCACAGAGCAGCTAGGCAGTCTGACCAGGCAGGAACCTTTTGGTTAGTAGCATAGGGCTTACCTGTGGTGCTACCAGAGCTAGGATATTAATGATCTCAAAACCAGAGGCTTCAGAAAGTGGATGGAAAATGGCATTAATCTTTTCATTCTGTGATTGTTCACGAAATGTTTGACGCCCATCATACATCTGCCTTCTCCACTTGGCAAACTTGTATACATCCCTTAAAACCCCAGTTCCAATGCCACCTCCTCTGTGATGCCTGGCTTGCACGAGAGTCAGTGACTCCACCTGGTGATCTTGACACTTTGCTCCCACACCTGGTGCAGCACTTGCCTGAATCTACTGGCACATACCTGTCAGCATGTGGGTTTTGTGTGTGTGCGTGCACATGTGCATCCCATTTGTTGTGCCTTTTAAGAGCAAAGGCCCAGTACGTCTTATTTGCTGAGTCAAAGATCAGAGTTTTCTCACTCATACGACAAGCAAACCCGAAGTCATCGTTTTTTCCCCCAAGTCAGTGTTCTTGGCATTTATGCAAGAGGAAAGAGGCACAGACAGTCCCAGCTGCCCAGCTCCGGGTGCTTTTGCAACTTTGTATCCACTGTGCCCCATTACTTCCTATCTCTACTGAAGGCTCCACTTAGAAAGCAGATGGTCATTTCAGGAACAACCAGCTAGAACATTTCTCAAAAAGCAAGATCAAAGAGGAGAGGGGGTTTGTGTAGTGACGAGATTGGAGTAGAACAAAGTTCTCTCCGTTCCTTTGAGCCTGGCTCACTCGGTTGGTGGTGGTTTAGGGATCGTGCAGCTGTGTCTGTATCTATTATTTCTGGTGTGAAAGAGCTGAAGTGGAAGTAAGGCTGCCCCTTCAGGAACCCAGATGTGGCTATGATAGGCCAGCTATGCCAAGCCAGGTCACCCCACTTGGCAAATCTGCCCAAACCTAAAGCATAAATAAAGCCATGGCACTGGCCCGGGAAACAAGACAAGACCTCTTCTTTTAAAAACTAAAGTACCTGGCTAATTCTCCGACTTCTTTTAAGGACCTGATGTAACTCTTAGACCCAGGCCAAGGGCAATGGTGATCATAAAGCAATGATGATCAAGTAGTAATGCAATTGTTCCCACTCCCATACAAACATTTGGCCTCTGGTAGGTGTGATTTGGACTTAGTTCACTTATTGTCTATTATACATAACGCTGGCCACCAGTATTACTATCTCTGAGTTCAGACCACAACATCTATGGGGGGGGGGGGCTTGCAGCTGTGGGAGAGCAGGAGGGGGCTCTAGGGCACATTTGTAAGGAGGGCATGAGGCTGGTGGGAGAATCCTCACCTTCCAGGCAGAGACCCAGGTTCAATTCCAAGAACACTATACCTTGTCACAACTATCATCCCTTTGCCAGCAGAAGTTTCTAGAAGACAATGAACTGGACATCCAAGCCTGGAGGTATACTTCTGAAAGTCACTCCCTTGAAACCACATGTAGCGCAATGGTCTGATCCACAACCCAGCATGGGATGGCCCAGGTCCAGCAAGGTTTCAGTCCATTGTGCCCATGCCCTGAGTCAGGGGTCAACTTGACAGCAGCTAACAACCCCCGGGGGCCTGCTTCTAATAGGACGTTCAGAGTGATACATGGACCAAGGTCAGAATTCACAGTATATATACAGTTGGGATCTATAGGTGGGCAGTAAGAAACATTCACTCACAAAAAACTCAGTGCCATCAAATCAATACCAACTGCAGACCATACTTGGGAAACACGACATTCATTGAAAACGACTCTGTCAGAAAACTTACCTTGTACGAAGATCCTAGTCCAGTAGGTCTTCCCAACTTGGTTTCCCCCGAGAAACACCAGGTTGGACAGGATCAGCATCGAGGTGGCGCACGACGCAAGGGCCGCGTGGCAGCGGCGGCGAGCTTTTGGGGAGAGAAACCGGACCTGCAGAGGAAAATGACGGGAGGCATCTCATTACAGGAGTGGGAAACTGAGATGTTGGCCAAGTCCTTTTTCCAGACTGTCAGCACACTGTCACCTGACAGCTCCCCTGGGAGTCTGGGCCAGGGTCATTACAAAACCCACTGCCATTGAGTCTGTGCCAACTCATGGCAGCTCTATAGAACAGGGTAGAACTGCCCCTCTGGGGTTCCCAGACTGCAACTCTTTATAGGAATAGAACGCCTCGTCTTTCTCCCACGGAGGGGCTGGTGGTTTCAAACTGCTGACCTTGCTGATGGCAGCCCAACACTCACCCACTATGCCACCAGGGTGCCTCAAGTCACGACAAGGGGGCTTCAAACAGTTCTTGGGAAAAAGGAATCAAAAGATCATGGCATCTTTTCACAAAGAGTTTGAGGGCCCCCACATTTAAACAACTCAACCTTCCATTCCAGCAGCAGGTTCATTCTGGTCTGAAGAAAGGAATCCCCCACAAGTGACCCTCCTTCTGCCAAAGGGCACTTGCCTCTGACCTGTGTGATCCGAGTACAGAAGCTAGTGAAGGCTAATGCCCTCTCCTCTCCAGTTGAAATGTCTCTTGCCTGCATTTCTATAGGTGCCAGAAGCAGGTTTTTTTATTTTTGTTTGTTTTTTAAATGGCTTCCCATGATATCTAGCATGGCGCCAAGAGGTGAGGTCAAGAGCGGAGTGATCTTTTTTCTGGGCCACTGACTTGGCTTTGGAAGCACACCATCCACTCTGTGATGCTGGCTCATTGATGGCACATAAAGGAGACCTGGTGGTGGAACATCGAGCCCTGGTGGTGTAGTGGGGAGAGGTTGAGCTATGAACAGCAAGGTCAGCCGTTTGAAACCACCAGCAGCTCTGTGGGAGAAAGAAGAGACATTTTACTCCCATCAAGAGTGACAGTCTCAGAAGCCCACGGGAGCAGTTCTGCCCTGTCCTGTAGGGTCGCCATGGGTCAGAATGGTCTGGGGGGCAGGGAGTTTGGTAGTAGCATGGTTAAGCACTTGGCTGCTACTGGCATGCTTGGCAGTTGGAACCCACCTATTGGCTCTTCATGAACAAGACCTGGCGAGCTGCTTCTGCACAGATCACAGCCCAGGGGACCCCCTGGGGGCAGGTCTGCTCTGTCACATGGGGTCAGTATGAGCTGGGCCATGCTAATGGCACCCAGCACTCACAGTATCAGGAGGGACCCCACGAGGCGAGCGCAGAAGACGCAGCATGAATCAAACCATCCTGGAGCCCAGACAGGGAGCCCCCAGAAGCACAGAGAACAGCAGCGTCTCCCAGAGCCAGAAACACGCCGGAGTCACGAGACTGACGTGTGCTCATCCACCCAAGCTTGCCATTGCCCTTGGCTCCTTCTCTCTGGAAAGTCTCTCAGGGTGTCGTGCCACAAACAAGCCCTTTATTTCCCAGCCCTGACCTGACAGGCGGTCACAGTGCCGGGCTTGGGGCCTGTGAGTGCCACTAGCACAGGCACAGGGACCATCCCTCAGAACGGTGGGCGTGTTCAGAAGGAGGACTCCGTGCAGAGCTATGACCAAGCGTATGAAACCCTGGGGTGTCAGGAAAACACCTCAGCTGAATCCAAAGACACAGAAAAGAGGGAGGAAAAGGCCTAGAGATGTTCCCTGTTCTTCAAACCTACACATCCCTGGGGCCAAATCCACGCTGACTCGGATGGTACAAATGGTTCACAGGCTCAGCTGCTGGCTGAAACGTTAGAGGTTCAAGCCCAGCCAGAGGCAGTTCTGAAGAAAGGCCTGGTGATCCCCTTCTGATGAATCAGCTATTGAGAACCCTGAGATGTGCAGGGACACTCAGGACTGCTGTGAGTTGGTGTGGACAGCCACTGGTCGCAGTGGAAATGACCGGTAGGATTCTGGACGGTCCAACAGCAAGAACTGATGTCCTTTTGAGTGGCAAGAAAGACTACATTGAGAGTAAGCTTCCCACAGAAGGCACACTTACTTAGAGCAAGCCTACTGGGGACCATCTGTGGATACTTTGTAGGTCTTAATCAGTATGCCCCTTCCCCATCTGTCCAGCCCCGAGTCTGCCTTGTGCATTTAGATGTAGCTGCTTGGGGGGACTACTAGAAGGATGTGGGGGTGTGGACCACATTCCTGATGCTGTCTGGGTAGTGACACAAAAATGACCCTGGGGCCTGCAGGGATCGTGTAGGAGGTGGGCTGGCATCACAGAGGGAGGGTCACCAAGCAGTGGTGTCTTGAAGTTGTGTCAACCATCCCCTAGAGGGGTAAGCTCCATTGCCCTTCTCCCTCTCAGTCAGGGCTCAGGTGGATGAATGGGCAGCTGGGCCATCAGTGGCCAGAGAGGAGGATCTCCACCTTGGCCAATGGGGAGGGGAGGAGCTACGAGGAGGAGTAAGGGAAGGCTTGGAGGGGTGGGGGGAGTGACGCTCAGCCTTGCAGTGGCTACCTGGCTACTTCCACCATGGGTGTGGGGACAGTTTGCCAGCTGGCCCCAGGCATGATGAGTGACACCAGGAGTGTCAATTCCTGGTGACGCCACTGCTAGCTCATACCATGCATCTCCTCATCCAGAGTTCTCTTCTCCATCCCTGCGGAGGGTGGCTTTGCTAAGAGCAAACTGGGGAGTGTGACCTTCTCACGCACCCAACGGCTATGGGGCTCTGATGGAGTTGTCTATCTGGCTGTGCTTATTCTGAAAAGCTCTTCAATGGTACTGACATACAGACCAGGTCCAGGCCAGTGGGCAAGATGACCTCTGGTCTCTCCCCCAGGTCTAGGAGGCCAGGAGTGTGTCCAGGGGCATGCTGGGAAACAGGGCAGAGCAGGGACAGCTTCATCCCACAAAGGCTGGTGATGAAAGTGGTAGGGGCCGAGGCAGGCTGGTGGATCAGCACCCCTGACCTCTGAGACTCAGGGCCAGGCATCCAGCAGGCCCTGAACTTGAAAACAGGAAGTTACTCTCTAGAGAATATTGACTTCATTACTAGCAACCCTGGGGCGGGGGCTAGTGGGGGAAGGGAAGCAGCTACGTGGAGGAAGCAAGGAGATAGGGCAAAGGGAAAATAAAATTTTTAAATAGTAATAAATTAAAAATGAAGGTGTGACTGAGCACAGTAAAAGAAAAAGGAACTATGGCTTGCCGTCATAGGCATACACGTGTCCAAAGGCCTGTCTCCAGGTAGGCTGCTGTTGTCAAGTGGGCTCTCACTCACAGCTACCCTCTGTACAAGAGTGGAGCGCCGCCCTGTCATGAGCCATCCTCACGCATCAGCACAGCCACTGTGTCAGTCTCTCTCATCGAAGCCCTTCCTCTTTCCCATCGCGCCTCCACTTTAGCAAGCATGATGTCCTCTGCCAGGGACTGGCCTCTCCTGACCACCTGTCCAGAGTATGTGAGACAAAGCCTTGCCACGCTTGCCTCGACGAAGCACTCAGTTGGACTTCTTCCAAGACAGATTGGCTTGTCCTCTGAGCAGGCCAGGGTGCTTTCAATACCCTGCCAGCACCACCATTCAAAAGCATCAATTCTTCTTGGGTCTGACTCAATGCCCAATGTCCATGTGTATGTGAGGCAATGGAAAAGACCATGGCTTGGGTCAGGGGCACCTTAATCCTCAAAGTAATATCCTTGCTTTTCAATATTCTCAAGAGGGCTTGTGCGGTAGATTGAGTCAATACAACTTCTCTTTGAATCGCCTGACTTCCTCGAGCATTGACTGTGGTTCCAAGTCGGGTCCTAGGAGCAGGTATAGGGGCCATAAGCAACACGATTGCTTTTTAAGGGATCCAAAGAAGCATATACTTTATTCAGAAAGCAATTCTAGCCCCACCAGTTTCCTTCCACCTTCCACTCTGTGGGGGGAATTCAAATGCCTTGTATACTCTCTCCCTTACTAGTGCCAACCACAGAGGGGGCACTTTGATTAAGCTCAGAATGCCTCCTCTTTACCAGGCAATTATTATAATGATTACATAGACAACAGAGATAGACTGAGAGGGGAGCACTAGTTATCAGGTTGGTAGGCAGGGGCCATGGTACCAGGTTGAGGAAAAGGGATGGGTTGTAACTGGTGGCCTAGCTGAAGACAGGGCCATTGAGAGAGAGGGAGAGTGTGCCCTGGAGACACGAGGTTCCTGCTTCTCCCCCTGGAAGCCCTGAACACTACAGATCGGCCCTGGATTCTCCCATCAGCCCAGCATCTTCTGTAGTTACACAATTCAATAAATTCTTAATTCTGCTGGCGGCCTAAACCATAGCCACCGTGAAACAGGAAGGAGGTCACCTAAAATCAGAAATCCAAGGGCTAGCAAGAGTTGATTGTCTTTCTCTCCTTTTAAGTAAGCAGCAGTGCTCAAGCCACAGCGTGTGAGGATCGATAAGCTAGAGACGCAAAGGACAAACCGAAGGTCCCGCCCCCCATCCCCAAGTAATTCTCGGTGCTTCCCCTGGATGAGTGGGTGGGCGACAAGAAAGATCATGATGCATGAAATCCAGAGAACACCCAAAGACACATATTTAACTAACAGCCGTAGCCTTTCCACCGACAAAACGAGCCTTGCCGATAAGCAGAGAAATTGGCAGGGCGCTGTCATTTCCTTCGAGATTCAGTGGGAGGACAGTCAGGAAAGGGTAGACAAAGGGTGTCAATGGCGACTCAAGGGATGGCGGGTGTCCAGCCAGAGGCCCCTCCAAAGAAAGGCCTGGCGATGGAATGCTGAGAAATCATGAGTGACAACGTCATGAGCACTGCTCCACTCCAACACACAGGGGTCACCTTGAGCAAGGGCCGCTTGATGACGGCTGACGTGGCTAATCCACAAGCGGGTCACGGTTGAACAGCAACTGGGATCCAAGTCTTCACTGCAGCCATCTCTTCTCTCTGCCTTCCCTGAGCCTACTGTAGAGGTGACCACCGTGACATTAGGAACCCTTCCCTCTGCTTTGGGGACCATCTGGTCTTTCAGCCAATCCTTATG